GGTCTTGATGTTAAATTATTAAATACAAGAGAGTCACTAAGCTCTGATATTGCCAGTTTTGCTATTGGTATCACGTACACATGCAGACTGCTCAGCTGGTAGTTTATCTCTCATTGCTTCAGGTATGCTAGCAGCCTAGAGCCTTCACACAGTGACTAACTAAACTATTGAAACATTGGTTAATGATTAATAGTAACCATTAGCCAGCTGATTGTTCACCTATGAATGTGTAAACAAATTTAATCTGAAATGGTCAGAACATCTGAACTGTCATCCAAAAATTCAGTTTCAAAGCACTCAGAGCTGGGGACAAATACTGTCAAAGAAAAGGTCTTGCATTGTAATTTCTACTTTAAATAGAAGAGTGAAAGGGAGGGAATTAAAAAAAGAGAAATTACAGCAATGTTAATGATGTGATATTCATCCCTACTGTCCAAAATATCAGAGCACGGGCATATAAATTCACAATTCCCAAGATAAACATCTACCTCACAAAAGGTAGCATCACACGCACGTCTACAACTGGTAGGAACCAGAAACCACAAGTCTAAACCCGTTAAATCAGATGTGAAAATAGGTCTATTCAGGTAAATCATATCAATGGATGCCAAGCAGTTTCACGTCTGCATACAGGAGCCACTCTGACAGCAACATCTATAATTTATGTAAATAATGACTGCCCTCGTGTGGAAGAAACAACATTCTCATTTCTGTTATTATCAAAGGCCAAAGTTCTTGGAAACAGACATACCCTCAAGCTATACACAAGGTCTCACACGTGGTTCTACAAAGCACTGTACAATATTGTGTATCGTGTATATCCCTTAAGAACACGCCAAACATTACAAGAATATTGCAGGTTTCAAGAAATGGGGATCAACATCAGAATTCGAATTAAGCACATGCATTTTTCTCTAACTGACCTATTTGTTATCTGGTGGGAGATTAAAAAAAAAAAAAAATGCTGGCCATCCGTGTAGCTGCAACCAGCTTTTAGGAAACCCTAAAAATGTCAGTCCTGACTACAGCCTACTACAGTGAGCTAAACCTTCCTGAAATATCCAGACTACAAATCCCATTGTAGATGCATCTGTCTGCACAGTGCTGGGGTGCAGCTTTAAAGCCACAGGTTTGAATCTAATGCCATTTTAGAGCCTTAACATTGTTGTGGCGTACACTAAATAGTTTGTATTTGAAGATATTTGTAGATATGAAAACAAAAAAACAAAAAATGTATCCATTCAAAAAGAGAGATAACCAAAAAACACACTGAGAAAGACATGGGGATACACAGGGACTCTTTGTACACTTATAATGAAGGGACCTTCAGTGCTTGGAGCATAACTCAAAAACAAATGATCCGTTCAGAGACAGATTCCAGACAGCGATAACATGAAGGGCATTTGCTGGACTAATTCTAAGGGCTCATTTGTGAGGCAAATTGTTTCCATTCAAGAAGTCTGAGAGACTCTGCATAGATTAGAGAACACCATGAGGAAGACTGGCGCAGTGGTGCATGCTGTGTAACAGTAGTACTCCACCCCAAGAAGCAGAATGTTTTCTTTGTTTTTTACTCTGGTCAAAGCCTGTCTGGTCATCAGTTCAGCTGTGTTGAATAGGATGAATTACAAGTCCTAATTGGGGAAGAGGCTTTTCAGACAGGCGCAAGAGATCAGGTTCAAATAATCAACAAAAAGCAAAAGGTTTTACTTTTCTTATCAAGTTCAAAATGCTTTTTTGTCTACATCTATGATAAACAAATAAATGATAACAACTAAATTTGAAATTTTAGGAACAATATTGAGTTTTTAAAAGGCTGTAAAGGCAGCACAAAATAACAATAATAACCAGAGGAAAACAACTAATAAACAGTGCTCTATACACTGAACCCTGGATTTAATTACACTTGCAGTAACTGGAGTTCCCCTATTCTCATTGCAAGTTAGTTATAAATGAACATAAACATAGAACGGGATGTCTTAGATAAAAAACTAATAATCCCATGCTCAGCATAAAAAGACAACAGACAGGATTTAACAATTTTACAATTGTTTCACCTTATGTCCACAGTTGTAATGCTTTTCAAAAAGTGATGCAAAAAAAGAAGGGATTTTAATGTAGCTTCTTCAGCCGGTGTGATAGTTAGAAAATCTTCAGCACTGATCTAGTAAAGAAGCTGGATAGCAAGATGAGGACATAAACCTGCCAACGACCTACACCAAAACCCAGGCAGTGTGTGTCTATGTTGCCCCACTTTGATGGAAGGTGCTGGTGGGCATGTTGGAACAATGCCGAGTGATGTTTACAAAAGAAAAAAAAAAAAAAAAACCTTTTTAGTGTTATGTGACGTATGTATGTGCATGTACACCCAGCTTACACATTAAAACCTCTTCTACATCTTGTCGTATATGTACAATTTGGACCTCAAAATTATGACTCCCTGTTAATATGAGCTCCACTGATTTGTGCCCTAGTGTGTTGACCTTTCTATGTAGTGTGACATATTTCTGGATGATTGTACTTAACAATATGATCAATGTGGTTCCTCATGTGTTTTGTTATACAGTCCTAGATGGATATCTATAAATTAAGGATTGTCTTGGTACATTGCCTGGTTTGAAAACTTCTAAAAATGTGGATTTGGCATAGATTTTTCCCAATTTTTACTTAGATGAACGGTCAAACAGTCGACTAGATGTGTGGCCAATGACCACCTGATTGCTGCTTACAGAGTGGTTGTAACAACATTCCCTAAGCATTTGTCCTACATTCCGACGGGGTCATTCCAGTGTTGTGGGACATCACTTGATGAAAGAATGTATTTTAGAAAAGTGAGGATAGATGTTGACCTAGAATTTCCTTTTGTAAAAGAAACCACATAAAACTGCCACACAAATAAGCTTTTGAATTTTCTAAAGAAGCTTAGTGTACCTCTTGAAAAAAATTGAACATCATCAATTCCTTTTTTTTTTTTTCCATACCTAGCGGCCCAATAATTCACATTAAAATTGGATCCCTAACTATTTGTTATAACGCAAAATGCATCACATTAAAGATGTACCGACACAATTTCAGTTGACCTAGAAGTCCTGTCAGACTTCCATGGACCTCAAATGAACAAAAGCCGACAGGACTGCAAGTTATTTACTGCCATAACACACATCGTATAATATTTGCTCACCGAGCAAGTGCACACTTACAGCTTCGGTGTGGATGGGGTGCACAGCAAACAGCAATGCTGCCACCAAGCTGGAAGTCTTGTCCAGGAACAAGCGGCACACTCGCAGGAAAAGCACACATACAACAGCATGTAAAATGACATTGAGAAGATGGTAGGAAGCTGCGCTGAGTTCACTGAAGAGGTAGTTCAGTCGGAAGGTGAGTACGGTCAGGGGTCGGTAAGATTTATGGCTCCGCTCCTATAGTGGGACACATGTTGATGCAGGTCAGCTCAGTGGCTGAGAGCCATTAAAGCAGGCACACTTAAAGTCAAGTTAATCTGAAGTGACAATCAAAATCATTTCTAAGTTAACAAATGCCATGCAATTTGTTATTCTAAATGAAAATGCATTTAAGCAATCTTGATTCCAAATATAAATGCTTGAGATAAGACATTTCAGCTTTATTTAGTGTGATCAAATAGTATGCCTGTATTCATAAAACACAGGAGAGTATTATGGACCATGACTCACCTCAGCCATGGGTGTTCCCCAGAAGTCATTGAGGAACAGATTGCGGACAGGGGTCGAGGGTCGTAGGTCCTTGTTGTCAAGAATTGCAGAGACATCATCAAACACAAACCCACATGACAGACTGTTCCAGTAACACCCCACCACCAGTCCAGTCAAAAGTAAAATCTCCTTCCATGACACGACAGCCATTGCTGTCCAAAGCCGTCATTGATCACTGGGGAGGAAAACCGAAGACAGAAATCTAATTAGATGGAAGAAGACTAAACAGGTAGCTCATTATTCAGATTCATTTCCTGACTGGACTTATGTTTAATCCGTCATTCTTAACTAACAATGCAACTATCTAAATACATTTGTGTGGCAGGTTTACAAAAACGATCTCACTCAGTAGGTTTATAAACAGCTGTTTTTCATAACTCTTCTTAATCTGATTCCTTGTCATCGTATTCATTCTCGGTTTTGGTGACTTAAAATCAGTCATGCCACCATTATCCCTTGCTTTACCACCCTTAAAACGTGCCTTTCTGATGTATTGATAGGGTTACAGGTTTTTCCAGTTTCGAATTTAGGAAAGTGGCAGCTGAAATAAGGAAATAAGTACTAATTAAACGTATCTCACATGCTATAAAATAGAAATAGTACAGCAACCGGTACAGTGACAGCTTTCAGCCTGAGAGGAAACGCAAAGGAGGGTGTACCTAAACAGCAATGTAAAACTATTAATAACTAATACCACCCTTCTAAAATAGTTATCTAGAGCAAGTGTTGCTGAACTCAATAAAATCGATGTTGCTACCAGTCGGCCACGGTGACATAAAAGCACATAAAGTCTCATACAGCATATTCTGACAATTCCAGACTAGCTGCAGCAGCGTAGCGTTAGCTAACGATAAAGCCATTCTAGAAGCTAATGCTAACTAGCGAGTTGCCGGTTGTAACGTTGGCAAAGGTGGACGCAGAAGCACATAAGGTCTTACTTACCGCGTCTATCGAAGGGAGGGCGGTAAGGCTGATATCAAAAACTCGGAACGCCAACACACACAGAGAACACAATTCATTAAGCAGCATTTGTGCTAACTAGCCCCAACGCGTCATCGGTATCACATCCGGGGCAGAGGTGAACGCGCAAATTGAACGGTAGCTCAGCGAGACTCGGTGCTTTCTGACGAACCGAAGTGTACACGGCGAGTACTACGTTGCTAAAACGCGATGTTTCAATGTCATGTATAGACTTTTGTTAAGTTTCCTGCAACGGTCCACTTCCCTGTTTTTACCGGTTCGTTTTTTTGTGTGTGGGCAAGCTTCATTAGCTAACCGGTGCTGTTGTTGTCAGCTGTAACCTAGCAGCCACAGCACTACTGCATGGAAACCGCTGGGTGGATGTTTACTCCCATTTTAATTTATCTTTAATCTCCATTTATCCGACAGAGTGATCTTAAATGATAACATATATATATCACTCGATCCTCTAAATCCCAGCTTCTGACAAGCTAATTCAGAAAATAGGTGTTGCGTTGCATTGCATTTTGCAGCACTTTGTTGTGCACTTAAACGACTTTATACATGTCAATGAGGTTCAAGTAATGATGAACACAACAACGTTTAGCCATTGCTTCCTGACCACAGTGAGCTAGTAATGATTTATCACCTTGCAGTCTACTCAATCCCCGGTTAGCTGAAGTTTCACACACAACAGCCAACATGCCTGCTGCTCTTGATTGGGACAAAGTGTCCAGAATTGACCCTGACACCATCATTCAAGGTCCAAAAAAAGAAGTGGACGATGTCTTCCTGATGTTCCTTTCGGTAATTATTCACATACTTTACATCAGTATTGTAACTGTGCTTCAGTTGTCCTCAATTCACCAACGGCTCTCTGATATTAAGCTGTAAATCACAAGTACGAGCTCAAAGAAAGACTACTGTCCTTCTAATCCGAGATAATTATTCTGGGTGTTACAGCCTCTTGCTAATTCATTTTGTCAACAAAATGGATTCATCACACTGTTTTGCTTTGAGGATCCATGCCCTCTGTGGTCACATAGCAGTCTGCTAACATCTGCTAACTGTGATCAGTCCGAGAAAAGATTGGATCTTTGTGTGGCAATACAAATATATTTAATAAGTATACAGTGTTTTGGTTACACTGCTGTTGCTGTTTTGGTCCTGATCAGGGCAGTGTTATTTTGAGCTTAAATCACTCTTGTTTTTCATTTTAAATCACTTTTTATATACAGGCAGAAGATTGGGAGGTGAAGGACAAAGCTCCGGAGGACGTTATTCAAGTCCTCAGAGTGTCTCAGGCTCTGTTGAAGGTGTTAAGATTCATTACGTCTACATTCTGAATCCTCCCATGCACATCTGATAACAACCCCACTCACATATGTAATATATTCTAGGAAGGAATAGTATTTCATGCATATTCCAGTTTACTGACCTTGATGCCTTTTATGGCATATGTTGCTTTATTTATAGGTTTGTCATTTTTAACGTGTCTTCTCTCTCCCCTGCTTGTTAGATTAATGATCGGGAACTTCATGTCGCTCTGGAATTACTCGGTGATATTGATACACAGCATGGTAAAAGTGTTTAGTGCATAGTTAAAGTTTGGTAGGCATTTTTTTTACACGCTTAGCTCTGTTTACATTTTTGTTTATGCCTTCTGTACTGTAGAAAAAGAACTACATGCAAAGATGGCGAGGCTGGAACAAGAGCATAAGGTACCGCCTTTGAGCATCTGTCTAGTCTGTCTGTTATCCTGTCTATATACTGCACTGCATTTGTGTATACTAACACACAGTTTGTTATACGTTGTGTTTATTTATTGAGCTCCTAAGCTGTTCCTTTTTGTCACTGGGATCAATGCGCCCATCGCAATGAATGTGAATAAGTCATTCATGTGTGTCACTTAAAATCACTTTTCATGCATCTTTACTTCCGGCAACAATGCCAAATCTTCAGCCAATCACAGAGCGTATCCCTTGCCACAAAGTGATTGGCTGTGGTGATCGCTGGAAGACAGCACCTAAGAAGATTACTACTAATTCCTTTCATGCTCATAGCAATTATTTCTAGTTACGGCTTGACTATTAGTTTGAGTTTGTTAAGGTTTGTATATAATCAGAATTTGCAGTCCCACTGGCTGCTTGGCTGTATTTGTAGTTTATGAACTTCTTAATGACAGTTTATGCATATGTTGGTCCTGTGAACAAATGAAAGACTAAGAGATTTCTTGGTGGGGGTTGTTTTGGTGCTTGTGTGTCTTGTCTCTGGTCCCTACGGCTCAGCACCCCGGCACTGGGCCAGACACTCGCTTTCTTAGAGATGAGATCCGGCAGCTCGAGACCCAGCTGGAGCAAAGGGAGAAGGAACTGACCCAGTTAAAAAAGGAAATGGGCAAGGAAAAGAAAAGCAACAAAGAGGTACAGTATGAGCTTGCTCTCTGAAGTTCCCATGCATTGTATAGGACTATGAAGTCAGTATTGAGTCCTTGGATGACCTCCAAAGACATTGTGCTGGTATTTACGTTAGAGGAACATGCTATTGAGGAGAATTTTGTAACTTTGAAAGACAAAAGTTTTGTATTTGTTGGTTTTTAACTGCATGTAATTCTATTTTAATACAATTAAGTCATAAATACTTTTTCTTATAATTAATTTAAAAGAAATTCATTTAAAAATCAAACATACACAAGCATGGCATATTTAGGTTATTTGAAAAATAATCTGTTGCTGAGCTTGTCATACTACACATTGTTTACGTCCAGCTTCTGGTTGATGTCCATTGATTAATGCTGAGGTTAATATGCTGGATCAAGGCAATGGCCACACACAAGTGACACAAGTGTGCATCTTGTGTTGTTAAGTTGTTACAGAGTTTCTGTGTTTTTTTGTTTCCTTAGTTGATTGTTCGAGCAGAGGAGGCTGAGGATGAGGTTAAGAAGCTGAAAAGAGAGGTATGCAACAGCTAGCACGACTCAGAACATTTCAGCACATTGTCATCAGTCACTAGATCATCAATTCTTACTTAATTTCAAACTTGTGTAGTTTCAATACGCTCTGCTATTTTTTGTTCATTATTCTATTTTATCTCTTTCTCTTCCATTGTATAGTTAAAAAAGCTTAAAACAAAGGTAAGAAATGTAGGAAGTGTAGTTAGGTGGAATTAGGTCATTTAGTTAAGATAAGTAAGAGTTTGGTAGTTTTTTAGACTTTTTAAAAGTGTAATTGAACCTAAGTTTGGAGTACGCTATTAAAAAAAATAAATAAAAAATCTTCTGTAGTGTATCTGCATTTCTGCTGTGGTGCTGTTGTGTTATTTTGCCACAAATTACATAGAACTCCATAAAACAAAGTAAGATCATCAGAAAAGACTATCTGAGATTTAAGCCCGAACAGATGTTATTTAAGAAAAGATAACGAAAGGTAAGTGATCCTTGCCATAAAGAAACTCTACCAGCACATGAATAATGTATAGATATATTGGATTTGACACTGTTTCTGTCCATCAAGTAAACATGAACAAGCACATCAACTTAGCAACTGTGTTTTTAATTAATCAAATAACTGTTGGGTATATAAAGTCTCTGGGCTAGTTGTTTGTCAAACAGCCAGTCCAAAAGGCAACGCTATTTATATAACTATCAAATGAGGAAGAAAAGTAGATGCTCACATTTCTGAAGCTCCCTTAAAACTTTTGTATTTGTATAAGATTGCAGCAAGTGTGATATGTGTCTTTTTCTGATATGGCTTCTGTTCTTCCTGCATCACATCAGAATGAGCAGCTCCAGCAGGACGTGGACTTCTATCGTGGAGAGCTGGAACAGAAAGAGCCAGTACCATCCAAAGATGAGAATGCTGAGACTCAGAGGAAGCTCAACTTGGCCAATCGGCAGCTTTACCAATGCTTGGAAGACCTTCAGGTTCTTTTTAAAACTATTTGTTTGCGATAATGTCTGGCAGTTGAAGCAACCAGCAATTTTTTTTGCCAACATTATGACTTGAGACTTTGACAAACATCAAATTATTGGTGAAGAAAAAAAAAATCAGTATACATCCAAAAACTTGCAAGATCAGTGTTGCTTCCAATTATCATTCACCTTTTTACAGCTTGTTTTTATGGCTTTCATCTGTTTAATTGCCCACTCTTTGGACCGCTCATTTGAAGCACATCAAGGGATGTGTGTAAAAGTCAGGTTTACTATATTATTTTATGTTCATTAGCGGACGGAGGATGAAAACCTGCACCTGAAGACACAGAACGAGCAGATGCAGAAAAGTCTGGAGGAATCTGTGAAGGAGATGGAAAAGATGACAGATGAGTACAACAAGATGAAGATCGTTGTGCAGCAGACTGACTCCATTATGGACCAGCTCAGGAAAGAGAGGGATCATGCAAAGCTTCAAGTAAAGAATCTCCTCACTGAACAGCTTATTTTGTTCTCTGTTTTGTTTCCATCCTTAACCTGCAGGTAGTTTGTAAAATATATTGTCATGCTAAGACTAAGTGCCTCCATTTGTCAGCCACCTCCAAGGTTATCACATATGTGAACTGGGGTATAAAAGGCTGTGATGTGGAATCTTTATGACTGGATCTGTGAATGTTCTGTTTTTGTGATAGGTGTTGAATCACATCTCTGTGTGTCTGTTTTATGTGCAGGTCAGAGAGTTGACAGACAAGATTCATAGCATGACTGAGGAGAATGACCCTATTATGGCAGCAGTCAATGTCAAAGTGGAGGAGTGGAAGGTGAGTGTAAATCAAATACCTATAAAAGAGAGGGTTTTTTGTAGCCTGACATACCTAGATGCTATATCTTACAGAGCTGCAAAAAACTAATGTAAAAGTAACCTACATAGCTTTCTTTTAATCATGTATTTTAGCCCCTTTTGACTGTAGAAGCTCATCTGGTAACCAAACCAAGAAACCTTTTTGTAAACATGCAAACATTGATATGCGCATAAGTTAGCCACAGGAATTTAAGTCTTAATTTTGCCTCTGGTCAGCAAAAGTCCCTGCTCTGGTGTGGAAACATACACTATATATAAAAAAAAGAATTGCTGTAGAACGTGTCACTGATTAACAAAGGCTTCTTTTGAGGCTGTTACAACTTGTGTACAATTTCATTCACAGTGGTGTCAGTGGGAAATCTTTTATATTTTCTTTGATGTTAAGAATCAAAATAAGCAGTCACTTTACCAGTGAGCCAAAATAAAAGACAGCATTAAACAGAGGAATTCTGGGAACAGGAAAAAGAAGAAGATCCTTTTTTTTCCAGCCTTCTTTTCTATCAATGCGCTCGTGTTCTTTCCGATATTCATTCAGATATCAGTCACTCTATAAACTACAAAGGCCAGAAATCTCATTAGTGTGCTCATTAGTTTCCTGTGACTAAGATTCATGTCAATTAGTTGTCATCAAGTTTGCTTTCAACTATTGTGATAATCAGCTAATTAAATTTCCAGTAGTTAAAAAAAAAAAGAAAACACACTTTCTGATGTATTCCTCCTTTATGATGGCCAACTCTTTAGGGTGTGGGCAAAACAAGACATTTAAGGCTATTTTGTTGAGCTCTGGAAAACACTCATCAACAATTTGAATTATATCCCTTTTTCAGGGCAAACAACTAACTGATTAATTGGGAAATTAATCAGCAAATAGATCAAAAATGAAAATAGTCTTTACTTGTGAAGCTCCTTTACGAACCCTGTGTGCTGTTTTTTGAACTGTTCTACTGACATGAGTCTACTGTTGTGCTGACATGACATCTTTTCCTCACACATAGAGAGTGCTCTCTGGGAAGGATGATGAAATTACGGTATATCAACAGATGATACGTGACCTGAGAGAAAAGCTGCGCTCAGCCCAGCTGGACTTGGACAAGAGCAATATTATTGCCTTACAGCAGGTGGGTCCTAAAATTAGAAAGAAAGTAGTCATCATTTATTAATACATTCTCTGTTTTGCACTTAATGCGGGCTATTATGTTGTCATGCAGGTGCTTGTATCTGTCTATTTGTAGCCACATTATGTGAACATGAACAAAAAAACTCAAGCTCGATATGTGAAAGACACAGTTACAACAATTATATGGTAAATGTTGTGGTCAGATTTTGGGAGACCTTGCACCACAAAACTTGTTTTTAATGGAAGTAACTGTTGTACTTTGTGATCGTATCATTTAGTGTCACAATATTATAGAATAGATATTTATTCCATCTGTGTTTCCATGTGTGCCAAAAAGGAAATATTTGCTAATAAAGTACTTAATTTGTGAGATCATTACAGTAGGTGATTATGTATTGATTTACCAGGGTACCAGCCACAGGCTTTCCTTTGAATGCTCAAGGGATGAAACTCTTGCATATAAATCTGTATTGTATGTGCTGTTTTACCACTCACAAAAATCTTTACCTTTAATTTGGGAATCATTGTGCATGCTTTATACATATATACGTGTGTGTGTGTGTGTGTGTGTGTGTGTGCAGGGGTTTCTTGACTCATCATTTCATCCATCTGTTCATCAGTTTTTCCTCTTTTTGATTCCTATCTTTTCCTTATCATGTCCTATCAATCTGTCCTCCCTTCCATCTCTATCGCTGCCCTGCGCCAGGTTATATATGAGCTCTGCAGTGTAAGTTCCATCTGTCATGTGTCTCTTATCTTCATTCTTTTGACTTCAGAAAATCCCTGAATGATGAAATTGGTGATAAGTCTGTTACACATAAATTCTCCTCATTTTACATTGTTGATGATTGCCCTGAAGGCCGTCCAAGAGAGGGATAATCAAATCAAGATGCTGAGTGAGCAGGTGGAGCAGTATACGGGGGAAATGGAGAAGCACACGCTGCTTATTGAGGAGCTGAAGACGTCCACAACTAAAGAGAGAGGTGGGTTGCTCCCTGCCTAATATTGCTAACAGAACCCCTTTATACCAAAGATACTTAAGATGTCATCATACAATTTTTCATCCACAATAAGAACAATTACCAAAAATTCTCAGTTTTCAGCTTCATCAAATGTAAGGATTTTCTGCTTCTCTCTGTTTTATATCATCGTAAAGTGAATATCTTTGGATTTTGAACTGTTGGTCTGACAAAACAAGCTATTTAAAAATATCACCTTGGGGTCTTGGAAATGTTGATAGATATTTACTACATGTTTGACATTTCAGAACTAAACTATAATTAAATCAGAAATTACAAGTGCTGTTGTACAGGTAATGTGTAGTAGTGGGTGTCTGTCCTCAGAAATCTGTATTATAAGTGTAAGCACAGGAATTCTGAGGACTTTTTGTGGTCCAGTATTTTTAAAGTTGCAAAAAATGTATGTTTTGAAATTATAATGACTACAATTTCAAAGGATTGACCTAAATGTTTTGTTCATCACCATTGCTCTAATTGGCATTGTTTTCACCTGCAGGACACAGAGATATTTACTTACTAAAATTTTAGAAGCTAAGAAGCCAGAGATATTTTCATGAGCAGATGGGGACATAACACAGCTAACAAGACTATTACTATTGGACTTAAGTTGTTTGGTTTATTAAGTTATGACTTAAAATGAGTGCTAATGTGGCCCTGTGCCTGCAGGGTGTGTATATAAACAATTAGGTTGCTAAATATATCATCTTTATGAGATGATAATATGTCCCAATGACATAGTATTAATGTTCTGCTGCCCTTAAGTTGACAAAAAATCGATTAAGGCTGCTTACAATTACAAGGGTTTTGTTAAAGGTACAAGCTTAGCATTAGATATTAGGTTAGCAGTGGTGTGATCTCAAATTAACCTCTATTAAGTCATCCAATAGGTCGGTCATAAAGTATATCGCAGCAAACTTTCAACAAATTCTGTGGCCGATAAACACAGATGAGGTTGAAATAAGTAAATCTGTAAGGGTACTTAAGCTTGTTATGATGTGACCTAGAGGAACTAGCAAACAAATGTATTGTGTGAACACTGGATGGCTACTTTTGTGTGCAGCTAAATACATATTCTGTTTTTCTTCTCCAAGGTCTCCCAATGACCATGCAGCACAAGAAGATGGAGGAGCTGAAGTCAAAGCTGGAAGCTGCAGAGATCAGAGCAATGGAAGCAGAGGAGGCTGTAAAACTAGCAGAAGCTCATGCTGAGAACAAAGACAAAGCACTCATTGAGGCTTCAAATCGCTTGAGCCAGTATGAATCTGTAAGTCCACAAATACCCTTTCTTTCTCTGCTGTTTACAACTCAAACATCAAAGATTTATTTCATCCAAATCGAATGAATTTAGGTTGAATCTCCCAAAAATGAGGCTTGTGATTTTCTTTTCCTGTCCATCCTTGTCTTAAATAGAGACATTAAAGTTACTGTGACTATGGTGTCAAAGACAGGATTTTTTTGGTCTACAAGCATAGTATTTGTCTTTCACCATGTCTAATTGCATCCTGATTTCCATAAAAAATAGTTAAAAAACAAGGAAATAAAAAAGTGAAACAAGGCATGCCTTTTATTGAAAGAGTAACAACAACTCTGTTTTTTGCATTGCAGGGCATTTATGGCCTGGAAGCGGCCATTGCGGATATTAAAGAGTGTAAAAATCAACTTAGAGCAAGAGATCGAGAGGCAGAGGCCATGACCAAAGACATCAACCAGCTTGAGATGAGAATCAGTCACCTCATGGATGAAAATGAGGATTTTCGAGAAAAACTAGGTCAGAATTTATAAAAACGTAACCTATTTAGACCACAGTGACACTTAATTTTACTTTAATTCATTGCTGTCTTGACTCTCAAGGCCTGGAACCACAGCAGGAAGTAGATCTTACAGAGTATAGGCGTGCCAAAGATCTCAGACAAGGTCAATACAAAGCAGAAAACCAAGTCCTCATCAAAGAGGTAAAAGCAGAATCACAAAGGTTACAACAACTCTTTTTACTTTATAACCACTACAGTTTATGAGCTCCTCTCACTACACCTGTTGATTTTTTTTTTTTTTGAGATTGAACGGCTTGAAGAGGAGAGACTGGAATTAAAGAAACAAGTCAGACGCATGGTGAAGGAAAGAGGTAAAATCATGACGTTAAATAGCAACAGGCAGTGTTTTAGCTTGATTGTTTTTGAATTTAGAAATAAAATCAGAGGTTTATGGGACTGAAAATGTATTTATATGTAGTGATATCTCCAATGTCACTTGTCTGTCTTTTGGGGTGAAGTGGCTCTTTGTTGCGTTCTAATACATAAGCTTGCCAGCTTTGTACAGCTTTGTGTCATTCACACATATGTGGCTTTTATGTTGATATTCCTCACGGCTTTAGGGACATGGTTGGAAATTTATGAAAAAAGATGCAATATTTGGAATCAATTTGCTGGACATTGATTTGTTTTTGAGAATTGGAAAACAAATGATTGGTGGTCAGATACGTGTTGTAAGAGAATGTTTTTTTTTTTTTTACTAACTCCAGTTGTGCTGTAAGGGGTAGATCGTTTTTTATTGGCTGATCTGATCTGAAAAAGAAACTTTTCAGGCCCTTAAAATATTCCCTTTTTACAGTGTCAGATAGTTTATGAAATTGATTTCAAAGTTGGTATTAATTCTCACTTTGTTTATTTTGTTTGTTTGTTTTACAAAAGGTATTATACTTGTTTGTATCCATTTAGGAACTGCTGATATTTAGTTTGGACACACCTTCTCATTTAATGTTTTTTATTTATCTTAATTATTTCCTACATTGTAGATTAATACTAACAACATCAAAACTATGAAAGAACACATGGGGAATTATTTTGTTAACAAAAAGTGCTAAACAAATCAGAATATGTGTATTATTTATATATTTTAGATTCTTCAAAGTATCCCCCTTTTGTTTTGATGACAGCTTTGCACACTCCTGGCATTCTCTCAATCAGAGGCGTTGCTAATATTAATAGGTTAATGTTATTAAGATTGTGTCATGACTTTTACAGAAAAGTGATGCTGTGTGCTTAGCCAGACATTCGGCCGACACTTTTTATTGCTGTCAGAATATTGGAGAGTGTTAAACTTTTGAGAGGGACAACTTCCATTCACTATCCCGATGAGTGATGATGTTGAAGATGTTGATGATGTTGAAGGCACCAACTTCGAGACTTAATTGTGATCTGATTTTGTCTTTGCCATGAAGGTAAAAACAATGTTTTTCAAAAATTAAAAGGATTTCTTATTAACATTGTGCATGTGATCAGCTGCGCCTGCAGGGATCCCACAATCAAGCTTGCTGCTGGAAGAGGATGTCAGGCCCAGCAGAGCAGCACAGCAGCCGCTCAAACAGAGTAGCACTCACACAGATGAAGAGATAAAACGCAAGGTAAGCTTCTAAGTAATGACATCACTTCTTGGATTTAACTTCAATTTTTAGAGCATACTGGTTCTGTAGTTATATAATCAACAATATGCCTTTGTTTGTGTTTATTGGGGTGTTTCATCTGATTTTAGTCACTGAAGTCTTGTTTACAAAAAAAAATGCCCCTCGTACTGACATACTTGGTCCCATAAATGATGCACCAAACCAAGAAAGCACTTACCATAAAAAATGCAATGATTTAAAAGTTAAACAATGTCAGAAAAAATAAAGACAGGAGAGTATAATGGAAGGCAACGGGTAAGTAAATCTTTCAGCTCAAGTAAATTGTGTTTCACAAAGTACTAAAGAGTTGTACATGGTTTGGTTGCAATATAGTTGATGCAGTATATTTACATCTGTAACAAAGAGATTTTAGAGACTCTCTTTAGCGAAAACTTGTTAACATGTCCATATGGCATTTTTGTTATGCTAGAACATACATCATGAGTGAAATAAGCAATCAATGCCCTGGCTGAGAATTTCCACCTGGAAACTGCAGTGTAATGACGACAGTGTCAAACACACCGATTCAGATAGATAGGGTTTCATATGTGACAAGTTTAAATAAATAAATTCTGCCCACTTGCTGGGTGGAGCGTTCTGTATCATCTGTGTCTATCACTTGAGAATCAGTTTCTGGTTCGACCATATAAGACTAAATTACTCCAATAAAACAACTTGCCATTGTGCGAGAGTAGTTTTTATAAGCAGTGTCTTAGGTGAGCTGGTGTGCTTGAGTGTTGGAGGGATGAGTGGAGACAGATCTGCACATTATAGGGGAGGTGTAGTGTTACATCTGTGTCATTTAAGGAAGGATTTTAATGAAAAAAAGTATGGATATGTCACTTTTATACACAGAGTTTTTAGGGCTTTAATTTTAAGGATTACATTTTGAACTTTTAAATGTCATAAATTTTGCATTGCAGAATGAGTATCTTGAAAACGAACTGAGAAATAAGGAGAGAGAGCTGGAACTTCACAAGGCCCAGTTTCAAGTCAAATGTAAGTTTGCATGGACATTTTACCAGAGTCAGTTCCATGAAGTGTAGATTATGTTAAAAGCTGGACAGTATATACATAGAGGATCATTTTTGCAGTATTTTTTCAGTAAATGAGACTTTTTAAGAGACGTTAATACCTCAGAGGCCACTGCTTCACTGTTGTCATTTCTTCCTGTGCGTTAATTCGTAGTGGAAGAACTATCAAGGGTGAAAAGAGATTTGGAGGCAGCGCTGAAAGATGTCCTTCACACCATGAGGATGAACCAAGAACCCACCTCATGTGCCACTGCTGTCTCTATTCCTAGTCTGGAAAGACTGGCTAATGTAAGTTCCTCTCATGCAATAAATGTGATTAGTTTTAAAGGTAAACTAAGTAATAGATACAGTGTTTTGGGTTTTGTTTTTGTTTTTTTGTTGGGTTTTTTTGTTGTTGTTACTGTGACTAGAAACAGTTTGGTCCCCATAACTTTATTCAGCTGGGAGAAGTTTCAGCATTTCTTCTATATTTTAAAGTACCCTCATATATTGCAGCTCTTCACTGGTCTTAAAAAAATACAAACTTTATCATAAACATCACTAAAGGTAGGTCTAATTTTAAAAAGCAAAACCTTACTTGAGACTTTATTATTTTGCAGAAGAACCCGTTCCGTCCATGAAGTCTCCTACCACACCCAGTAAATTACCCGCTGTTTACTCAGACAACAGAATTTCTGAACATGTTTAATTGTTTTTCAAGTACCAGCAGTTTAAACATTGTTTGGTTTCACTGTCAAAGCAGTCATCGCAGCAGTAAATAAAAGATAAACTCAAAAGGCTGTGTATCTTTGTACGTCTTACTTTTGGTATTTCAGCAATTGCTCAAGGTTTTTGGCAGTTTAGACTTCAATTCATCATCAAAGATCGGATGAGTTTTGGCAAGTTTCTAGCAAGTTATTAGCAACTCCTGGTACTGTACCGACATTAGTTTGCAAGTAGTCTCGCCTGTCAGCTGTTACCTTGGCGCTGACCAAATCATCAGTCACTGCTTGACATTTCCTTGGCTATTCTTAAACTTGACTAAAGACTACAGCCTGTTTTGTTAAAACTGAAAGCTACTTTTCCTAAAAGAAATAAGCATGAGATGAGCGTTAGTGATCTGAATATGAGATACAGCAGTAGCAGTCTTAGACACTAAGATACAGTCATTGAAAAAATATTAGACCACCCTTGTTTTCTTCAATTTCTTGTTCATTTTAATGCCTGGTACCACTAAAGGTATAGTACCTGAAGAATACAATGAACACGACCAAAAAATACAGCTGATTACATAATACTTTATGTCCTATTTGACATGCTTAAGCTTAATTGTATTGCCACGGTATATAAGAGACCATTTCATGTCATCAGCAGCACTGCACATGCAAAGGCCTAGAGTGGTTTCCTGCTTACATTCAAGCCGTAGCACAACCCAGAAGTTGTCAGCTCTCACCTAATGCCTTAAACAAAAGAATTATGTGAAGCCACAAAGGCAGCCATCTTGGCACTGCTGGAAATTGGCATGAGTGAGAGACAGGTAGTGAAAAAACTATAGATCTCCAAGACAGCCGTTCATTACACCAAGAAAAACCAAGCCGAGCATGATACTACCACATTGCTAGCTGGAAGCATCTTTCTACCCCACGAGATGACCGTGCACTCATCTGTTCCTGTGTCAGGAATCGTTGTCAGACCTCCAGGGACCTTAAAAATGAGTGGGCACTGTCAAGAAATGTGACTTGTTTGGCAAGGACAGTTGGAAAGTTATACAGGGCACGGAAGAAGCCCTTCATCAACGAAAGGCAGAGGAAAGCCTGGTTACTCGTTGCTGGGTATCTCAAGGATTGGGCTGTTGAGGATTGGGCTAAGGTTCTCTTTAGTGAAGAATCCATTTTTCAGTTGATGCCCACTCCAGCCAACTCACTGGTTAGGAGGAAGCCTGGAGAAGCATATAAACCAGACTGTATTGCCCCTACAGTAAAACCTGGGGGTGGATCAGTGACGATCTGGGCTTGTTTCAGTTTGGGTGGAACAGGGCAAATGCAATTGTGTGACGGGTGAATGAAGCAGGTCATGTACAGGGCTACTCTTGAAAACAGTCTTCCTCCATCAGCTGGAAAACTCTTTCCTGCCT